CCCCAAAACCCCAAAACCCCAAAACCCCGGGGTTTTAGATTTTCATTGGATCATGGAATTCTTATTGCTAAGGATCAAAATATTATGAACCTAATATGATGTGAGACAATCCAGAGCTTGAGAGCTGTTGGATGATTTCATCTTTTAGTCCAAACAACCCATCCAAAATGTTGAGGTGCTTGAGTGACTCTCTAAGACCTGATTCACTGATTGCATAAATCATATTTCCATAACCAACTATGGACTCTGCATGTTCATAATTTCTTTGAGTCTTATTCTTATAACTCATGCTAAGAGTATTGATCTTGTATTTTCCTTCGCCTATAGGACTAAATGACAGGTCTCTTACTTAGTTTAAAATCGAAGTCTTGAAGTTCTCCCTCATCTTGGCCAATATTCCAGTCACCTATATTTATAATCAAATATTCTTCAGAATAGCATTTTAAACCAAATAGCACAAAATTCTCAAAACTCTTGAGTTTGATCCTAATCATTGCCAAAAGCCTTACAGTTATGAAAAGAGATCTTCTCGACATGTCTAGCTCTTATGACCACTGCAGAAAGCTGCTCTCTTGTAAAAATTATGTTGTTGAAAGAAAGATCTCTACTAACTTTCCCAATACTGCACATCAATCCATCGAGGATGCCGCATGCATATCCAAACAAATCGCCTTCGGGACAAGACAGACTCAAAGAGGGTATTTGTTGGAGAATGGAGTGTTGCAGAAAGTCGTTGACCTTATCCATATCATTGCTAATATTGGATACTCTCACAGCTTTGATTCCTAGGAGTGCTGTCTGTGATGCCAGTATTTGTCCAACATCATCGCCTTCAAATTGTTCATTTGAATCTAGCTCGAGCACGAATGAAGGCTCTGACGAAAACTCCAATCAAGGGATTTCAGAGTACATCTCATGACAAGAGAATGAATCCATTGCGTTGTAAGAGTTAGAGAGCATCGAATCAGAATCAAAAGATGACTCCGCTGAAGGAGAATCAAAAGGGATATGATAAGATGGAACCTGACGGGCTGTTCTAACTTTTGGGGGGCATGGCAAAGCTCTCTTTTGAAGTCTACTTGGTGGGAAAGAAGTGGCCTGAGGGTTGGCTGGCAGATACCTAAAGAAGACTTAGAAAAGGAGAGTTCGTAGGAGTTATTACTGAGCCTGAGGTCTGTTTGTTTGAGCTTTGGCTAACTGCAGAGTCAGTGAAGCGATTTTTTCTTCCTGTTCTTTCAATTGGTTCTGATATTTTTGAGATATTTCTTCCTCTATCTTAGATCTCATCTACAGCTGATGTTAAATCGGAGCAAGATGAAAGATACAAAGATAGGCTCCTTAAGTTCATTATAATAAAGAAAGTTGTAAACTATCAAACCCTTTGTCCCCAAAGCAAGGTCAAAATCCTTTAAAACAGACTAGAAATTTCTTCTTAATAATTTTCTCTATCTATCAAACTTACCTTTTTCTCCTTTTCTTTTTTATCACGGATTTCTTTATTCTCCATGTATTTCTCAAAGACTTCTTTAAAAATGTCTTTAAATTTCTGAGAATACAAAGGAACTCCTAGAGATTAGGCTAAAAATACCTGAAAATGGAGATATATGCTCCAAAGCATTGTGAACTTTCACATCGAAAGGCGACTTCGGGTTGATACAATAATTGTGCATCAACATTTGGATTGGGTTATAACCCTTTTCATCTCTATACACAGTTAATAAGAGGTATCAATTGGAGCTTACCTTCCAAAGTCTCCGCTAATAATATCTTTTTCCAATCTAGAGAAACATTGTTAGATTGATGGATTTTAGTTGGAGATAGGAAAGTGCAGTTTCATATTATTTACGAACTTACCTGCTACATTCATCGATAAGTGTTTCAAACGTTTCATATTTTCCATTTTCAATAGCCTCCTTCACAGCAGTGATGTAATTACAATAAATATTTTGGATGAGGTCATTGAAGACTTGATCAAATCCTTCAATAGAGCAAGAATCTTCATATATTTCAGAAATAATTTTGATGCGGGTGATCACTTCACCCAACTCCTTCACTTTCTTCTCAAGTCCGTCTGTTTTAGTGTCGATCATTTTGGGATTTCAGGTGCTATGAAAATCAATACGACAATCTCGACAAATCTTTGTATTTCAGTGTTCACAGTAGAACTTAATGTCACTAAAAGTTATGAAGTTGATACTTACTTCTCGCAATTTAGGCTTCTGCATTTAATTCTAGATCAGCATTAGTAAGAAGGAAGCAAATCTACATCAAAATGAAAAGGAATTAGAATTTATATCAGAAGATCGTATCAACTCAGGAAGATCCTCAAGAGCGAAACCTGAGACCTTCCCATTCAAAGTCCAAGAGGGAGGTTTGAAATTTTGAAAGAAATTTACAGATTTTCTTGTCTCTTCGTTTCCATTATTAAATCATTAAAGAATTTCTCTCAACAATTTATACTTACCCCGGGGTTTTGGGGTTTTGGGGTTTTGGGG